TGTGCAAAATCTTCCACCACATTGGTCTGGTGTTTAAACCCATATAATACAAATACTTGACAGACGGAGCCGCTTTGTAGTGCGAGACAACAGCAAAACGTAAATCCTTAAAAAGGTGGAACTAAAAATCTCAGGGAGAAAAATAAGATGTCTGGAGGAAGATGGCACAATATTTAAAAACCTGACTTATTTAGGAAACCACAGACTTGATACAAAAAATATTGTTTTATGCACGTTCAACTGTTGGGGAGCTGCATGGCGGGGAAGGTAGGACTCAGACGCAGAGTTTTCAAAAAGAAAAGGGACTTTAATTGTCAAAAAGGTTTTCAAAAGCAAAAGGCCAAGGGGCAAAAACAAAGACAGGAACCAGGAACGAGAACAAGATCGTGGACAGGGACTTCCATAGAATGAACAATGACGTGACAAGTGACAACAGACACACATGGCTTAAATACACAAGGGAGGTGCAGGTGATTGGACACAGCTGGGAACAATCATGACATGACACAATCACAGCGGACGACAGGACAAGGCAGGAAGTGACGTGACCCAGGGAGAACAGAGGAAGGAAACTACAAAATAAAACCAGACATTAACCCAAACCGTGACAGAATTCCCCCCTTAACGGCCAAATTCCAGATAGCCCTAAACAGACCAGGGGCGGGAGGGAGGGAAACCAGACGATGGTGGGCCACCCAGGGAACTCTGGCGGGCAGTCAAGCGGCCGGGGAGCCTCCGGGGGTCGGCCCGGCGGGCGGTCAGTTGGCCGGCTCCGGAGCGCCGACTGCAGGGCACTAGAACGGGCAGCCGGAGTTGTCGTCGGCTGCATGGCGAGGGGAGCCGGGGCCGTCGCCGCCGGCTGCATGGCACAGGAAACCTCCGGAGTCGAAGTCGCCAACTGGAGGGCACAGGAAACCTCCGGAGTCTCCGGTTCAGCCCCCGCCATAGCCGCCCCCCCCCTCAAGGGCCGGATCCCAGACGGCCCCCGAGCCACCAGGGAGGGTGGGAGAGGACCACGGGATGGGAGGGAGGGAGCCTGAGTCCGGGAGCGAGTCTCGGGGCCGGTACAGGCCGAGTCGAGACCTGGAGTCTTGGAGCCGGGGCCGGGGCCTGGAGTCGTGGGGCCGGAACCGGGGCCTGGAGTCTTGGGGCCGGAACCCGGGGTCGGGGCCTGGAGTCCTGGGGCCGGAACCCGGGGTCGGGGCCTGGAGTCGGAACCGGGGTCGGGGCCTGGAGTCGGAACCGGGGTCGGGTCAGGAGGGCGCTGCGACCCAGCGCGGGACGTGGTGGGCTGCGGCCGAGCGTGGAGGCCGTAGGAAGCCTGCCGTTGGACCTCGAGGTCCATCAACCGCTCCCTCCTCCCTATATTGGTTGTCTGATTTAATTTACTATTAGATGTTACAATCCTGAGTTCCCAAGTTTGTTCTCTAATACTAGCATTAAAGTTACTGCTTAAAAGCACTACTAAGGTGTCGCTGCAAATCCATGATTCCAGACAGCCTATCATCCTGCACTGGATGCTGATCGCACTCAAAGGAAGGGTTCTATTTCATCCTTACTGACCGCCAGAGGCAGTGTTTCACAGTGGATATCTTCCATCTCACACAAGCGCAGGTTGAGTGTTTTATAACAACAAAGTCCCTTGACCTCGACGGTCTATAAGATGTGGTGTCATCTTGAGGTTTTCATCTTCTCGCGACGCAGGCGTTCTGACCAGGACCACACCTGTCCCCCATGTTCCTTCTGTTTGTAAGAACCGTTTTTCCGGACAAGCCCTACTCCGATATTCCTCTTCTGCAGTTAAAACATCTGAATTCTTCAGTCGAAGCAAAAACAAAGTAATCAAAACCATCCTGCCAGGATCCTTTTCTGACCTGTTCTGTCTTTTGCCTGTTTTCACCCCCAAGTCTCCTTCCCTGATGTGTCTGTCATCCCCCTGTGTGTTTTGTTTTCACATGTGCTTGTTGTGGGTGTGTTCTTGGTCCCATCTCCAAACACCGCCAATTGCCACACCCACGAGCAGCTGAGACCAACGAGGACTTGTTAATGCTCCATTTCAACCCTGGTTCTGCAGGCTTGGGTTGTCAGGTCATTTTGTCTTCATCACTGGTAGTCACCACTGAGTTCCTCTGCCTAGCCTTGTGCATTACTAATTTTCTTTCTCTGTCTGTAGAGTTTCTGGACACCACCTGACTCCAGTGTCAAGCCACTAGATTTACACCGTGACCGAAATCCCTCTGACGTAGAGCAACGGGACTCACGCCGTGATCTAGCTGCCTTCGTCCGGTGTCGAGTCAAGTCTTGGGACTCACACGTTTTCTGTCTTTTTGGATCAGGATCAGGAAACATTTATTTACCAAAATATGCCAAACATACAAGGAATTTGTCTTGGCGGTTAGTGCGCGACAGTAGACAGACAAGACAGCAGTGCACAAGTAATAAAATAAAGTAAAATGAAATGCTAATGCAATGGGTTAGTAGAATAAGGCTATGGGTTAGTATAAAACAAGGGAATAAAGTTAAAAATTTTAAATATTAAAAAAAGTTAAAAAGAAAAATATTAAGCATAAAGTGCACTAACGAACAAGTAACAAACAAGTAACAAAGTGACGAATTACAATTAAAGTGGCATGTGCAGTGTGAGGGTGTCAGTGGGGGACCGGGCTCTGTTGATGAGCCCGACTGCCAACGGGAAGAAACTGTTCGTGTGGCGGGAGGTCTTAGTCCTGATGGACTTCAGCCTCCTGCCAGATGGAAGGGGCACAAACAGTTTTTGTCCGGGGTGAGAGGGGTCGGCCACAATCTTTTTAGCACGCTTCAGAGACCTGGAAGCGAAGTCCTGCAGGGACGGCAGATTGCAGCCGATCACCCTCTCTGCAGAGCGGATGACACGCTGCAGCCTGCCCTTGTCCTTGGCTGTGGCTGCAGCGTACCAGACGGTGATGGAGGAGCAGAGGATGGACTCGATGATGGCCGTGTAGAAGTGGATCATCATCGTCTTTGGCAGGTTGAATTTCTTCAGCTGCCTCAGGAAGAACAACCTCTGCTGAGCCTTCTTGGTGATGGAGCTGATGTTCAGCTCCCACTTGAGGTCCTGGGTGATGATGGAGCGGAAGGAATCCACAATAGTGACGGGGGAGTCACACAGGGTGATGGGGGAGGGTGGGGCTCTGTTCCGCCGGAAATCCACAACCATCTCCACTGTTCTTAAAAATAAATTTGGTTACCGTATACTGGCATCTGTGGTTATCATTTGGGTCCTTATCGTTGTTCTCCCGTGCAGCATCCACGTCAACTCTAAACTCCCTGCTCCTCTCGTTCATGTTCATGAGGAGCTGTCCCCTGTGAGGCACCACATGCTCAAGCAGCATTCCAACAGTAAAGATTCTGGAATCCTTGAACAGCATTCCAACAAGTAGCACAGAATACACTAAATACAGCGATATCAGTTACATTTCTTTCAGACAAACCTTGAGGAAATTAGGAATTTAATCTGCTTTTTTTTTTGCGAGATACGGCTAGCATAAGTGCCTCAGACAAACCCCCGTTTAGGTTTTGGGGGTTAGGGAGGGTTAAGCCAATGTCACTCTTGACCCTGCAGAAAAGCATCTCTTAGAGTAGTTTATCTTCACTCTGTCAAAGTAAAACGTTCTGGGTTATCACGTAAAGCCTGGTATTTCCATGTTTTATAGGACTCGTGTCATGAATCAGACCTCTATGGCTCTCTCTGATGGCCACCGGAGGGCACCATTACCTGAGTATTGACTTCCCGCACTCCATTTCCCATGCACCCCATAATGAGACTAATCACCGGTACAGGTGTTTTCCATTATCCGCTTTACTCAAGCAGCATTCACTCTCATACTCTGTCATATGCTGACATTTCCAAGCGTTTACCTTGATAGTCTGTGACCCTTCTGTGAATGATGTTGGATTATTAAACCACTGTTGACTCTACTCTGCCTGCCTTGGGGATCTCTCCCTCGGGAACTTTGACTGCTTTGCTGCCTGCCCTGACTCTTGCCCGATAATCTGCACATGGATCCACATGCTTCCGACCCCTCGTTACAGCCTGAAGCCCTGTTAGTGATTTTCAGGCAATTCTCAAAAAAAGTTTTTATCTTGATTTATTTCTTCACCAATAACATATAAATTGATTTTTGCACATCAGAACCAGTGGTGGCTGGTCCATAGAGGGCAATGGGACGTGGCCCCACCATCTCACCTTGAGCCACAAAAAGATTATCATTTTTTTAAATTACATTAAAAATACAGTTAACAAATAGTCAATATGTGTCTTTGTGTTTTTGAAACATGGAATATACCCAGTGATATTTGTAAATTAAGATCTCTGCAAAATATATGCATTTCCTGCACGTCCTCTCCTCACCTGCATGTCTGCATGTTTCAGTTGAGCTCGAGCAAGGTCCCAAGCGGCGAAGAAGCAGTTTAGTTAATGAGTGTCATATAATTTCAGATTTGGGCTCGCCCTTCGCCGCCCTACACTGCGCACTCTTCAGGGCGAGTTTTACGACACGCCGTTTAACAACATAACAATAGCGATTACGGCAGTGTCCTTCGAAGAAGACCTGACCCGAACTCGGTACATTCTCTCATCCAAGACCAGTTTGAGAGAAGAACTTTGTCGGAGAGACTAGAGGTAAAACGTGTGTGTCTGGACTCCAGAGTCTGTTACAGACCTTCTGTCCACTCACGCTGAACCGTATTTGAATTTTCCCAACATCCTCTCATTCTGATATTTGCAGGCCCTGTCTCCCCATTTCCTCTGGGTCCTGTCCTTTAAGCAACTTGGATTGCCCTGTTCCTGAGGATATGCTGCTCAATTCCCCCTTCTATGCATGCTTTTTGCGGTTCAAATATAAATGAATTGGTTTCTATTGACAATTAATGATAAAGGTAGGAAAGAATGACCAGTTTTCATCCTCCGTATTGTCTTCGATTAAAAATCTCCAATTGGGTTCATGAGGAAATTCATACTGTATGTTTAGAAATATGACACCGGGCATGTTTTAATCACAAGTTACAGCGTAATATTTGCAATATGCACAATTGTACACAATTGGTACATTTCAGGAATAGATCATCACTAGCATCATAAGAGTTTATAAGAGTTATACACAATTAAATGGGTAAATTGGGCACATGTACGAATTAAACTTTCCTTTTTCAGAAACAATTTTAAGAATGAGTTAAATACATATTTAGATAGAACAGACTTCTCAAATGATTAATTACAAGACTGTAGCAATATTAATAAATTGCAGAGTTATTCCAATTATTATAAAAATACACTTTTAAAAGTTAGATTTTATGTTGAGAAAACATTACGCTTAGATCCAAGCCTGGTGATTTCTGTTAGTTCACTGAATAGCTTTATTGAAGATTTTAAACTTATTTTAAATTAAAGTCCCTCATTCACTCAAGATATATTTATCAAAATGAGGTGTTCTCATATTTTAGTCTCCAAGCAGGGAGTGTTACCAACAGACCAGATCACACACTACCTAAATGTAAACCTTTTAAATTCATCCTATACCCTGCATTTTAAATCTGTATAGCTGAGGTATTTAATTAATATCGGTCAAAGCTGCATAACAAAAAATTACAGGCAGGTTGAGGCCTAGCCTGCCACAAGGCTGAAACACAAAGTACGGGACAACATAAAAGGCTTTACTTCTACACTAATGCGCATTGCACAAATCTACATCAACATTTAGCTTTCATTCTCTTGTCAAGATGACTATATACGCCATGTTTTCCACTCGCTGATTAGTTTCGGTTGTGGAGGTCTGCAATGAGTTGCCTTACGTCCTCAGTTGAAGGCTGGGTTTCGGACTCCAGATAGGGTACTGACAGGAGCACTTTTCCCTTTGAGGAGAGTGAGGGAGAAGATGAAAAAGCAAACACTCATGACGGCCAGAATGATCACTCCGGAGATGAGCGCGCTTGTCACTGTGTTTATCTGAAACACTGGAGTTTTCAGATGGGCTAGAACAACAAAAACACAAAGAGGCAATCAAATATGTTCTCATTTCTTCCACCTTTTAACACATCAACTTGAATGTCCAATTAAAAAAATATAATCTCAGTATTAGTGATGCAAAGAGTGTTTTTCTTTTAAAGCTAAATTACACAACCTTGAAATGTCAAGATTATATATTTTCCAGTTCACCTATGGTGGTGGTAGCAGAAAATAATTCAGCAAAATTCAAAACAACATCATGGAACAATCAGGGGAAAGAAAAAATTATCATAACTGCAAATTTTATCAACAATATTAGAATCAAAACAGGTGAAATCAGAATCTAACAATCAGCAACAGCTGCAGCAACAGCTGATTGTTGGTTGATGTTTGGATCTCACCTCAAAAGTACATTCTCTGCTTGTATTACTCAGTTGCAACAAATCACTGTTTCTGGTGTTGTGAAGCAATATAAAAGAGCAAAAAATGTGTAACGGCTAGGGAGATATAACACCTATCAGATATGACAGGATTATATTGTATAATAGTCTCAAAGGGAATGGGAGACTTTTCCTGTTTTGGAGGCTTTTACTATTTAAAATGGCTTACTCAGTTACGTGCTTACCCAGTTGAGAATTGTTGGTTGGGGTTTCATCTGTGAAAAAAAGGACATTTGAGTGGAACAGTGAAACTTAACTGTCCTGTTTTGTGTTGCTCATTTCTTGTACAGCACATGAGTCAATAGGACGGCTTCCAGCACTCTCTAACCCTCTAGGTAGCCCAGATACATATACGTAACTTATCACCATCAATCAACCACTTGAGGTTTCAAACACTTATGAATGTACAATTCTGAAAATCGATTCAGTTAAAAAAAACACATGGAACAAAAAGAATACTTGTGGAGTTTGAAATAATTAAAAAAGCTCAAGCGGGGTTCAAACTACAAGTTTTCAAATTCAAGGAATTTTGAAATTAGGTTGCGTCACACACATAAGGTCCATGTTCACAGAATTTGCTTTCTCAGATCTAAAATATTGTAATACTAAGAGCTACAAGCCATTATTAAGATTGCCGCAACAAACACAGAAAACTGATCTCTCAGGCAAGAAAATGTAAACAAAATATACTGAGCTTACGTCAAAAATTCAATATATATAAGTGCTATTTAGAACGCAATCATTTTAGTATGCTCGAACCCTTCAGGGAAATGTCGTGGCATGCAAACAGTGGAGATAGTTAGGGTCAGCATGGACACATGGTTAGGATCCAAACACATGCAGTCACCAGACCCTTTGCAGACATGGACGCCTGGCCAATCCTAGCACTTGAATGCGGAACAGGGCTGGTCTTATCAGCAAAAAGCAGTGGGATTCATAATAATACCTCAGCTGCTGTTGGATATTAGCAGGACTGCTCAAAAAAGGCTGCACACTGGGAGGTTTCAAATCTGATTTGTAAAAGGCTCACATTACCAAATAATCTGGTAGGTATCAAGGTTCTGATTGTTGGGAGGGTGCACATTTTGGCTAAATCGGCACAGAACTAGAACTAGTGTGAGCATGGCTTCATGTATTGGGTACCAGTTAGGAAGAAAAGGCTCCTTAGGCAGTTACAGTGCTGTTTGGATTATGTTTAAAAGATCAGTGTCTTTTTGGTTGGCAGCAAAAAGTCCCTGAGAGAAAGGAATATCCAAAACTTTACCACTCCGAGTGATGATTGGCCCGGCGGTTAGGACAGCATTTCCAGATGCAGTGTTTAATTTGTTTCCCTCAACATCTCTCTTTTTCCTGCTGCCACAGATCTGTAAAAAGGCCAAAAGAGATACGGTGGTAGAATGTGTTGCAATAACTCATTATTTTCTTTCTCATCAATTTCTATAATCAAAAAAATTAAGAAGATTGAGGGAATATCTGCTGATGCAAGAATCAAACCGTAGTTTGTTACGTTTTTATAAACCAATGCCTGCCGGAGGAATACAAATGGCCTGCTCTTTAATAATATCTGCCATTGGAAAATACCCTTTTTTTTATATAAGCCAATAAAATGTGCGACTAACTAAAGGATGTCTGACAGGAAATGAATATCCCAAAAGTTAGTAGACACATTTAAATAATATATAGGTCCTGGCACTATTAGCATGTAATCAGTAATGATCACGACTCTTTGCTGTCCTGGCTCCTAAATGGTGGAATGAGCTCTCTGATGACATCAGGACCGCAGAGAGTCTTTACATCTTCTGCCACAAACTAAAGACACACCTTTTCAGACTATATCTTGACTAAAAAACACTAAACAAATTGTAGCACTGAAATTGTACTTCTAATAGCTCTTATCTATACCAAGTTGTAAATCGGCTTATTTGATGAAATTGCATTTTCTTGTTTATTGTTCTTCTGGGTTTGTATCCTTATGGATGAAATGCACTTATTTTAAGTCGGTTTGGATAAAAGCGTCAGCTACTTGATGTGTAATGTAATCATTTGTTGAATGATTACTTGAAGTTCAGATTTTCGTTCATAGAAACTTAAGGATGGCTTGGCATTCTAATTGATTGATTTTGTCTGGTTATCAGTGGTTAAAGTACTCAATTCCTTTACTTATAAGTATCATTACAATAATGTAACTACAGAAGCAAAGGCCCAAATAGTCATTCAGAATCACTCTGTGCTACACCAAAATCAGTTCTTGTAGTCAGAAAGGTCTAGTGAAGTAAAAAGTACATTTCCTTCTGAAATCTAGTGGTGTGGAAGCTAATAGTAAATGTAAATACTCAAATCAATTACAAGAACGTAAAATTGTACTAGAGAAAATGAACTTGGTTACTTTCAACCATTGATGTGTATGAGTATATGTTTGATGGCTGGGAAATTTGAAGTCTGATTCGTACATGCTTCCGACATAACATGGAGTCGTAGGTGGGAGTATGAGAGATATTGACAAAATATATATTTTTATATCTTAAATAATAAATCTTTATAAATATTAAACATATTTAACGTAATAATATTTCATGCATGTATGAAAGTCTTGTTCTCACTGGCATGAGCATTGGACAGTCATCTGCTCGACACAGTTTGGTGACACAGTGTAGGAAGACTGTGGACATCTTCTGATTCTTGTGCTTTACAAAGCGGAATACTTCAAAGGCAAAGCGGCCCATTTGGCTCTTCCCATTTTCAAAAACGGACGTCTGGGCATCTTTTTCACAGCTGGAGGGAAAATCAGAAAATGTTATTAGAAACAGAAACACAAATAGAACGTAACAAAATCATAGATCTGTTTTACATTTTAAGTTACCTAAAGAAAAGATCGTAGCGGAGGTCATCGTTGGGGTTTCCAGAGGGTGTGGTGTAACAGTAGTCCATTAAAACATTCCATCTATTCAACATTAAAAATTTGTAAATGCAGAGGTGAATTCAAATGCAATTGAGATCATATAGATAGTGATTGGAAAATACCCTTTTTTTATATAAGCCAATAAAATGTGCAACTAACTAAAGGATGTCTGACAGGAAATGAATATCCCAAAAGTTAGTAGACACATTTAAATAATATATAGGTCCTGGCACTATTAGCATGTAATCAGTAATGATCACGACTCTTCAAACACTGACGGCACAATGTTCAGGTCTTCTTATGAAGATCTTTGTATTGGGTCGACAGATGGAGCTGTCTATTACAATCTTTTAAACAAGAAATCCATAATCCATAAAATACTTTGTGTCAAGAGGGATTCAAAGGATGTGGATGGGCCCTCTGCCAATATTGGAATGCCAGGGGGACCCAATTGAATGGTGACATTGAGGAGGACGGGGAAATTATTCAAATAATAATTTATTTCATAATCCACCTGAGGTCTTCTTACAGGGTTCAGGACAACTCTTTCAGCGGAAGGTGAGCCAAACAGCAAAATATCAATATAAAATAATATCATTTTTGCATTAGAAAGGGATCTATGGTTGTGGGAACATTTTTCAGGCCCTTGATGAGGAACTGGTTGAAAGCGTGGTGGTTTTGAAGTACTGGAGCTAGGCAGAAATTTGAATGGGCATTAAAAGGTGCTTACCTAGGTTAGTCAAAGTGGAGTTGTGAGGACACACTGGAAAGACGTGGTCTATGGATGCGCAGATATGGAGGAAGTGGCACTAGGACTTGTTGCAACTGGTATGATCTTATTATGATACATGTGCATGCCCTTTTTATCTATAGCAGAGGTCTTCAACAGGGGGTCCGCGGAGGTACTGCAGGGGGGTCGCGAAATTTTTGGTTGTTGAAAATGCAAGCTGGTCTCAACCGGTATTTTTAGCCATACTTATATACATATTCCTCACATTGTTTTGTATGTAATTCATGTTATTGTAAACTATGAAGTATAAAAATACCAAAACACTCAGTGGGTGTGGGGAGAAGGAGGTATTTGTCCGACAATTAATGATCTTTCAGCCTGGGATTTGTTGTCTAACCACCACAACGTTTTAATTCAAACATTCATTTTTGTGTTTTGATCATATTATCCAAAACCTAACTGAGCAGTTTTATTTCCGAAACCTAACTTAGAATTTCATAATTATTTTCTCAAACTTTTTTCTTAAGTTGTTTTATTTAATTAACCAAATTGTTGTTTCCTGAAAAGACATAAATTATGAGGGATAGCGCTTCATATATAATCGTTATTATTATATTATCATGCGTGCATTATCTTGCGTGTGTTGCAAAGCAATTCACCGCCAGAACAAGTAACGTTTTTGAGCATGAGTGTTAAATCCCGTTTTTTGTGCTTCCTGCAGGAAGGAGACTGAAGGCCGAACGAACCCGTTGAACCGCACCCTCAAAAGAGGAAAAACCTAATTTTCCCTTTTTCTTTACTTTGTACGTTACAATAAATCGTACCCTTTTCTTGTGCAGCTAGACGTGTATCCGTCTTGCCCCGTGCATCGCCACTGATGCTTTTCATCGCGGACACATTTGTCCCGTATTTTCCTCCACAACTTTGTTCCCCTCGACCGACAAACCGACTTTTGAGGAGATCTCCCTCCGTGAATCAGAGGCCATCCACGCGTCCTTATAGTCCGCTGATGACGGGTTGTATAAGTGGTCATATTTACGCATTTCTTCCGACAAAAGGTCTTCAATCTGATTCATTCTCTCGTAAACATTCTTTGTTTTAATAATGGCGGTATTGTGCTATGAAAACGGAAATGTGATAATCCGTAAAGGATGTAGTTAGCAGACCAATCACAGCCTTGTGGGCTGCAGGAGGCTTGCGTCCCTTTCGGCGCAAGCCTAGAAAAATGGGTCAACGCATGCAAGCACGCAAGGTGGTGTGAAAAGGCATGCAAGGGACACGCAAGGGGGTCTTGCGTCTGCGTTTCCTAGCGTCGCTCTGAAAACCCAGAAGCATAAACTAGGCTTTAAGTCCGGTTTCCAGCTTCACCTTTTAAATGAGCAACATGAATTCATTGTATGTATTGTAATAGAAAATGTTAATTGTAATACCATCGTAATAGATGTGTTTTTTTGCAAATTTGCAGTACATTGACATATTTGTAGGAAACATTGTTGTAAATTGGCCAATTGGTAAATTCACAATTTAGTAGTCTTTAAAGTCTGAGTCAAGTCCTGACTTTTATATTGGTACACCCCTGCACTGTATGTATCATCAATTGGAGCAGTAAAACACAAAGGTTCTTCTCAGATGAACAAAATCATTCAAGCAGGTGATGGAGTTGTGTCATCAATCCCTACTTTGCTTCACCATCACATACATGTAGCATAAAAGCAGTGGTTCCCAAAAATGTTCTGTTGATCCCTTATTTGATCATATAGGAACATTTAAAGGCCCCTTCCGGCCCTTTAGAGTTTTTTATTATTTTTTTAAACTCAAGGTGCTTGTTCACATGATCAGGGTGGTGGGTTTCCATGTGTCTTGTCAGTTTAGTGGGCTTCATACTGTCTGTCGCCCGTATTCTAAGACACACTGGGATCTCTCTTCTTGGTTGACCATAGGGCGTAAAGCCCAGAGACAGATATGCCTCGTTATATTTCCATACATATTTTTGTGCCGTTGTTGTGGTAGTTGTGTTGCCTGTGACAGCAGGAACACACCATCATCTGATATGTCCTTTACAAAAGTCCCAAATCTGTCCATCTTGGCTCATCGTAACCTTATTTATCACATATCTTTTTCACTTAATTTTTCGGTGTCTCTTACGCTCTCTCTATGTCGTTAGCACATTGCAAGTCACATCTATTTTGCTTGATTTCTTTCTTTTATTTGTATTTCATTTGTATTTGTAAGTGACCTATTCATGGATATGGATTTTGATTGAATACCTTCTATCCAGGTTAGTGGCTTTTACGGCTGCAAACACTCGGGTCTTTAAGGTCAGTCCTGCCATGGGGATGGTCAACTGCTGAATGTATGTTGAATCCTGTACAAAAACCATAATAGCATTTCAGCATTTCCTGACCCATTCCCTTCATCCTGTCGAGGTGTTTTTTTTCAGCTGCACTAGAATTCACAAACCCCTTCACATTGATTGTCTGGTAGCCCCCTACCCCGTTTAAATGACTAAATCTAGCATATGGCTTGACATGAATTTGGATGTCAATTGAGTATAATCTTTTCCAATCACAGGATTAAAGGTAATTTCTGAACCTTCCCGTTTCATACATTGATCATCCTCCTCAGAGAAGTTTGAACTTGCTTTGTTCAAAGCGTTGCATGCTCTTTGACGCTTGCTGACTCATTACGGCTTTGGTATATGACTCTGTCTCCAGTGCAGCTGCCTATAAGCTCCCCTGCTGTGCAGCAAAATAACATATTTTGACATGACTGATGTGAACTTACATTGTAAAGCAGTAGATTCAGCGTGCTGATGAAAGTACCATTGCTTTCCTTTACGGAGATTGCAGCTGCTGACCTTCAATGAAGAGAAAGAAAAGATTAGGGCTGCCAGAAACTTTTTGAAAGGTGGTTTCAATATTTAAAGTGACAATTGCCAGAATGGTACTTTTTTTTCTTTGACATGAAAATAATGATATGAGCACAGATGGTGCTTTACGTGCTGCTATTCACAATATTAATGAAGAGGAATAAACTTGTCACACCTTGTGTTATGAAGTTATAGGAATAGGAAAATTGGTTTGCTAAGGGCTGCCACTCTGCCACTCACGCTGCTGACCTAGCCGAGGAGAGTTGATAACATCGGCCCAGCCAGCGGTGGTATCATGAAGTGTAGCACCTATCCTTTGATTCTCCCTAAGGTCAACACTGTTGCGGTTATTAGCGCTCTTATTAGCACTGTCAATATTAGCTTACTTTCAGCAAAGTTGTGAATATTGGCTGTGGAAAATGTTTTTATTTCCCTACCAGATTCTGTGAATTTTAGATACAGGGGGTGGACACAACTTAAGCACTAAAGATATGAGATACTAAACATTTTGATGATGCAGCTCCATGATGAAGATGCAGCTCCATGTTTTTTTATGACTCATTTTGTGGTGGAGTTGCTCTAAATTAGTAAAAAAATATTCTGTCCAACGTGGAAAACAAACAGAGTGTACATTAATTATGTAATGGAGGCGTTCTTTAATGTTTTTCACATTGGTGGTACAATGAATTGAATAATTCCAACATTTTTACAAAAGAAATGATAATACAGATTTGAAAACTAGAACTTTTTCTCGTCCTATTTGTTTTGTTAATTTGATAATCAGTTTAACTCATTTCAATGGATAGCTTGCTGACTCTGTAGCAACCCACTAGAGCCCGTTCAAACCAATGTAAAAGTGGAAGTGAGACTTACGAGGCCAGCTGTGTGTTGTTCACTAGGTATTCAAGCGGGTAACTGCAGCTGAACTTGTAAAGCAGACCTGGCAGGTAGCTGATGATGGTGGGAGGATCTGGTGTGTCGATATACCCTGAAATGTTTCCTATCTGCACCAGTGAAAGGTTGCCATAAGCGTTAGGTCCTTGAGCTGTGGAGACCTGAGGTGTACAAAACCAATATGAGTGACACTCCTCCTGCCTTTAGCCAACCACCATCATCTCACTTTGCGCACACCAGACCGGAACAGATATGATAAAAATCCATACGGCACAGAGCATACTAAGTCACCTCACTAACTAACAAACTTAATCCCTTTTCATCTGAGCCAAGACCATCCAGAAACTGTCCCATTGCTCATTGCTGGGGGAGAGACAGCTTACTCAAAACAAATTCACATTAAATCTTAGATTGGTTTTAACTTGTCACCCTGACAGCCTCAAGGACCGAACAGCAGCCCATTTATCGATCTGTAGGATAAACTTGTCCATATCTAAACATGGATACTATGAACCAGCTCATATAAAGACACAAATAGCTGGGAGGCCTTTTGCTGTAGAATTTTCTACCTCAGTTTGTAATTGTTCATCATGTACACTTCAACATACAAAATGTTTTTTTTTGTTGTACAAAAAGTCAGTCACACTAAGTCATTTGAGACTGTGATACTTTTCATGAGAATTTTTGGCAAATAAACTACATAGCCCAGCCTTTAAGTGAACTATATTTTCATTAGCTTTGACAATATTTTCTCAAAACTATTTGTACTATAACATTTCTGACTGTATGACCATAACAGTTATTTGTTATGTAATCCAATTCCAACCTGTGTCAGTTATGCTGACAGTTCTACTGCCTTCAAATTCTACTAAACAATTACACCATTCCTGCTTTTCTTACCACCAGGGAATTCCCACAGGACTCAAGAGTTGCCAGGCTGATACTAAAGATTACCACTGTGGGAAAAGTGTTGTTATTAATGAAACCACGGCAATGGGCGTCCCCATGGCGACCATTGAGGGCCATGTCGGTGTCTGTATAGCCAGAAAAGAGGACAGGGCAGAAGTTGATCTTGAGGGTGATGGTTTGCACCCCACAGTAGACACTGATATCCCTCTCCGCTGTAAAACACACACAGGACAGGTGCAGACCGTAATCAAATGAGTCACAAGATGAAGATAATAGGTTTGATATATTTTGGTTATTAAAATGAATGAATTGAAATGGTTATTCATTCTTTTTGATATATATAACTATATCTATAGATATAGATATATATGGATCAAAATGAAGGCTGTCAAAACTAATTAATCTCACATTTTGAATTTCATTCACTTTCTAAAGTGACTACTTCACTTAAATTCATTTTATTTTGTATAGCCCAAAATCATCAAATCACAAATTTGCCTCAGAGGGCTTTAGTCTGTACACATGCGACAAACTCTGTCCCGAAACCCTCACATCGGCAGAGGAAAAACTCCAGCTGTTTTTAATTTACAAGATTTAATCTTTAGAAGAAAAACAAACTTATATATATATATATATATATATTAAATATATATATATATATATATATATATATATATATATATATATATATGCCAGTTTGTCTTTAAGAGACGATAACATGCAAATTCCGTGCACTTAGTTCCTCACCAGGGAAACGGCTGTGAAAGTTGGCATCACAGTTGTATCCATTGAATTGAGCTCCAATTGATGAAGTCTTACTAAACAGTAAAAGAATCAGAAATATATGTTCCATTTCAGCCCCTGTAGAAGAAGAAAATGGACATAATGTAAGAAACACTATCCACTCAACTATCCATCCAGTCAATTATAAGGAAAAAAAATCCTGAGGAAAACTTAAGATAGTCCTAATGTCAGTGACTAAGGTTTCCTCGGAAATTTCCGTTATGTTGCAAAAGTTCTGACTGTCACATGGAATTATCTAAGAAAATCTGTAGCTCTGGCAGCAACGTTATGAGAATGATGCTGGATAATGTTCTGATGACAAGCAGCGATTCATCAGAGGATAATAGCTTATCTCTGTGAGCACATCTTATTGTCTTGTGATGACCTCTTATCACATAATTGTGACAGTTTCAGTCCTGAGGAAACAGAAAGTAATGCATCAAGTTTGTAGATACCTCTCCACTTCTGAAAGTTGAAAATTCCAGACAGCTTGGAGTAAAAAAGCAGAACCACTCACCCTAGTTCCTGAAAGCCAGCAAGTCAGCGGTTCTCCATAAGCTCGGAACAGACGATGGAATGGTCCGCACAGCATCCCTACCCAACAACTAGGAACAGGAGTCGCGAGCAGGGGGGAATAAGGGATCTACACATAAGAGATTCATTATTTGAACATGTCAACAAAAAAGGGCTGTCCAGAATGAACATGGGAAAGTCCATCAAATCTGAATGTGTTATACAAATCCTTTCACGTTTGCAGAAACATGAGCAGGTTTTGAAGTTTCCCACTCATATCCTTTCGGCCCAATCTGGCTGTGTCACTGCTCACAAATGATTTGACGCTGCATGAGGTCCAGCAGCGGTGGGGGGGAGAATTATCTTTTCATCGCTCCAGTGGCCTTGGACTGCTGACTGAGTTGTTCCTTTCTCCCTGGGCCGGTCAGGGACGGCAGAGCCCACCACGCAGGCTCTTGCCCCCCGGAATCCACACTTTTCATGCTTTGTGTGCAGCAGTCCTCAGTCAGCACAGATGCAGGCAATCTGCTTGGTGGGGTTGCGAGCTGCTGCCGGCCTCTTACCTGATCTTCAAACTTTGATTCCTGATCACAGGACCCCCACCACATAAAGAGAGCAAAGAAAAAAAGGCAAAGGTAATGGAGTTTCAAGGGATTAGCCGATCCTCGCTGTCCCATCTTCCATATGGACGGCAGAATGTGTGAGGGGCTTGCTGCAGTGTGAGCCAACCGGAGGACACAGGTATCCTGTGAATAGGAAATACGAGATGGAAATGACATCGTTTTGAGCAAGTCTTGAGTATTTCTTCCCATTTTAGGTCCAATTTAGAAAAAAACCCACTTGTTTGGTCACTGTCCTCACCAGTAACCTTTTGAATGCCCAGCCACATGGATTTTTGTTCTCCACATGTCATCAGCAATATTATTTATCACACAGCTTTCACTGTTTCACACAATTTTTGTGTGTGTCTACGTTTACATTTGGCTGATGCAGCTCTGTACAGCTGCATCAGCCAGCGACTGATTCACCCCCGGTGTGTGAAGGAGAGGTACCGCAGGTCCTTCATTCCTGCTACTGTCAGGCTGCACAACCAACTGTGCACCCAGTGAACCACAGGACATTAAATCACCGAAAACATCACCAAAGAACACTAAAACATATGTGCAATAAAGGTGACAATGGGCAATAACCACTGTGGTATGTGTGCATATACATACAGTATGTATTCCGCGGTACATAAACCGCCCGTAAATATGTGCCTCTGTTTTGTGGTGAAAATTCTCCGCCCGCCCATTAAAGGAAGGTGTAAACAAAAATGCGGGTTTCCTTGCATGTGCCTTCTGGTGAAATTGCAGCAGTAATCTAAGCCAGAGGACGACACAGGCCAAGAAACTGAAAGGATTTTTTTAAATATATCTTGTTCTAAATAGTTTCTACATTTGGAAAATCCCTCTGCCACCAAAACACCTCAAACTAAATCCTGATAGACCATTTATTGTGTATCTTATTAATGTGTTTTTACTGATTGTATACTTAAAACGACCTGGACCCTTAGTCTTGACTGTCAAACTACAGGGTTTATCATTTAAAATGTCAAAAACATGAACCCAGTCCTTTCCAGCTCTCTTTCCCTGTGCCTCACAGTGGAAATTTTGCATGAGTTATAGTTCTTTCCAATTCACAGATTCAGTTCCTCTATTTAAGGAAACAAAGCTTTCACTTTTGGTGAAAATATACTACTTGAAGGAGGTCAGAAAAGAGTAAATCATCACATTTTTAAAAACTACGCTAATGGTTGGAACTATGACAAAACTAGTGATTATCTCTCTCCATAGAAAAAGATCTGAGGGTCTTTATCTGAAGAGTGAAATCAATCTAGACTGGGTGCCATCACACTGAGCTCGCCTTTAGCAAAAGGTAGGTCTCTCAGCTTTTGTTTGCTAAAATGTCATCACTTGGCTCACATACAAGTAGCAAAGTCTTTGCATCATTTTCAGTGTCCCTTAGAGAGTATCTGTGTATAAACTTGCCCTCCCTGCTGACATAGCCATTATATATATGACAAATACATTCTTCAAAGGAGGATGCATTATCTGCCTGAATTATACTATACAGATGCATACATTCTGCCACTAAGAACAGTTTTATTTTTCCCTTCGTGAACTGTGTATTGAGTGACTTTTTATACTACTAATCCATTTTTACATTACATGTCATTTAGCTGATGCTTTTATCCAAAGCGACTTACATTACATTTTTAACCCATGGCTTTTTACATTTTTTTGCCCAGGGAGCAATTAGGGGTTAGGTGTCTTGCTCAGTGACACTTGGGAAAGCCAGGGCTCAAACCACCAACCTTGCGGTTCCCGACGCACTCTCTCTACCCCTGCGCCACGTTAACCCCTTATATTGAGGCATAAAGTTAGGTATAATCGGACGGTACCAGGTCGCAAACTGCGAGCTATCTGTCTGCTGAGCTGCATCACAAACCAAAAAAAAATAACTGAGAGCAGTGGCTGCCAAACAAAAGAAACGTAAAATTAAGGTAAAAAAAGTGCGAAAAACATACATTTACAGGAATTTTGTAGAATTTTACAGAGAAACACATTTTTTGATAGACTTTTCCTGTGGTATTACGATGAAACACTTTTAATAAAAGGATATCACTAAATATTCTGCAGCAAAAAACTGTATTAAGATCAAACAATTTCAATAAAGTGATACCACTAGATGTTCTGCAGTGAAAGTTATTTTACAGTTTTTTTCCTGTATTATTACAATCAAACACCTTCAATAAAGTGATGCCACCAAGGTTTTGCAGTAAAACAGTATTATTTTACAGGTTTGTCCTGTAACACATTGTCATTTGTCATGAAATATAAGCTTTTCATAAATCTACAAGATGTTCAATGTTTCAATTAAACTAAGGGTTGGAAACTTAATTAAAAATAGAGTACACACCACTATCGACTTTAAAACAATGGGCAGCTAGCAATGCGCTCAACTGGCAGAAATGATGCTGGGTATGACGTGTCTGTTCCCTGCAAGCCCCAAACTTCTATTGGCTTTCCATAAAAATGTCTGTCCGGGTGGGGATGAAGCCAGGAAACTTGTGCAAGAACATGTTTAAATGCCGTACCCTTTGACACAACATTAACAACTATAAACTGCTTTATAATGGCTGGTCGTAGTTCTGCTAGAGGGTCAAGGACGGGTTCCTCAAAACTGTTAGTGTTTCCACACCACTTAGCATGAACACATGCTGACCTTTATGCTCTGCATCTATCGATTGAGTAAGTTACATTCATATATGTTACCCGTTTACATGTCATGGCAAAACATTCAACCTCAGTGACACAAGGGTACATGTGATGATACATTGTCAACATTGCATGTCTGTCAGACTCAAGATTGTCTGGTGGAATGGAGAAAGAGGCACCACTGTACAGTTTTCTAGGGAAAGTCGTTCTGCTGACACCAAAACACTGCTTTACATAAAGCATATCAGCTGTTTCAAAGTCCCAACCGTTTGTCTTCCTAAAATACTGGTCCTTCCGTATAACAATAACCTCGTATGTGATTGGAGGACCCTTAGACTCCTCGTCCAATCACGTGTGAGGTCATAGGCATGACTGATACAGCAGTACTTGCAAGACGAGCATACAAACAGACACGTGTGTGTCTGTTACTACGTTCAGAAGAACTGTATCTCCAGTTCCTTTGTTTGGTTTTTGCTGGTTCGTGAATAATGGCTGGACGACGTCTCGCGTTCAACTCGCCTTCAACTCCACGGTCACCAACTTTCGGCCAGTCCGCAGACAGACGACAAGAAGCTGCTGAATGCTCTCAGTGGATCGTCTCGTCAACTCCAACAACAAACTGCCGATATCAACGAGCGGTTCGCTCCACTGGAGCGTTCGGGACTCTGCGGGTTTCTGTCCATGGAGGAGAGGAACCGACTCAAAGAAGAGGAGACGGGCGCACGATCCCACGATAGCGGTAAGAATACGTTTGACGACTGCAAGCTAAGCTAAAAGTAGCGTAGCCTCAAGCTAAGCTAAGAGTAGCCTAGTAGCCTTACAAGTGAGCAGAAACAGCTTTATTAAAGTGTGTTTTCTTTGCCGTGTCGTTTACAGGAAGCGGTGCGCCGTCTTCACAACTCCGAGACGAATTACAGGCGCCACGAACCGGAGCAAAGGTCAGATTTAAAGATGCTTTCATTCTGCACTATAAGGGAATATATACGTATAGATACCATAGGATGGATACACAGTACTGATTCATTGTTGTTTTTACAGCTGCTGGAATCGAGACAAAGTGTGCTGGCTGATGACGAGGTGGAACTCTGGAACTCCGCCACCGTGGAGCTCACGTCGGACGGAGGGGACGCCGTTGTTGGCGGGGTCTCGGGGTGGATTGTACGGTCGCCACACACACACACGAGGCGCCTGCACAACAGACCTGCCTCGGAAAACACGGCGCCAGTGACGGTCTACAACCGCGAGGAGGCAAACGGACAGTTTACTGAGCTGTAGTTTTTAAACCGCCGTTACCCAAGTGTGGGCAGATCCTCACTTTGTATGTAGTTGTTTGTGTGTTGTTAATAAAGCTCTTTCTTTGCATAAACATGTGGCAAATGTTAATTTTCTCTATAAATTCATTGATGTCCTGGTTGGTATCCTAATAATAGTGTAGTAGCCTGCATAGGATAACCATGAAATGAATATACAGCATAATATGAATATATAAATAAAATGAGGCGGGTGACCAATAGCGACAGATCTGCCAACCAATCACGGGTGATTGAAAGTTGTTTTCATCCAATCATGAACAAGGAAACTCAAGCCTGGTCTGCCCACGTGTGGTTTTGCTGCCAATCACGAGTGATTTTATTTGTTAGTAAGTTGTGGTTTCATCCAATAAGGAGTAAGGATATTCAAGCCCGCTCCGCTCGGCCACCCGCGGTTTCGCTGCATTCATATGCTAATTCGGGCCATTCGCACCTCCGCCAGCTCTCCACCTACGTCATGGTTCGTTTCCGACAATTTGTGGCACAGACAAACGCGACGTGCGCGGGTTGCAAATTGTCGGAAATTGTCGGAAATTAGGGAGATTTCCGGGCGTTTACGGGGACAAAAATCTCACTTTTCATGCAGTGTCAAGGGCCTCGTCGATGCATGGGAGGGGGTAAGGGTCCTTTTTGGTCACCTTGTTGACCTGAAATCCACACAGAACCGCCACGCATCCTACTCTTTTTTTGGGACCATGACAACCGGAGAGGCCCAGGGACTGGTGGAAGGCTCAATGATACCCGCCCGCTGGATCTCCTGCAACGCTTTATCCGCAGCAGCTTGCCTGGCCAGTGGGAGGCGTCGAGGCCTCATCCTGATCGGTGGTGCATCCCCTGTCTCAATGTCGTGCTGAATGAGCTCTGTGCGGCCCACGTCCCCATCTGACAGCGAAAAGCAGTCCTTGAACTCGAGTAGGAGTTGCCATAATACATTTTGTTTATCAGGAGCTAGGCCATCACAACTTTTCTGCCAGACCTCCCTCACAACAGATACCCTCTCGTTAGTCATTAGCCGGTGGGGTGTCTGTCTCTTGGGTGCGTGGCACTGCTGTGCCAGTCGAATAGT